CTCAAAGAAAGAATTTTAGGGGTGAACCTATCCCTATTTATTTTCCATATGAGGGGTGTATATCTAATGGACCCTTAAATTAATTTATTTAATTTCCAATTAAATCAAAAAATTGTCCGAAAATGTGATATTTTAACCCACCAAACTCTATCCCTAATCATATATCATACACAATTAAAAAACAATATCAACCCAATTTTCACCTAAACAACCCTAGATCACTTCCACAATTACAGACTATTACAAACCCGATATTAACTTTGAATTAGAAAGGAAAAGAAAAAGGAAATGGAAAACGAAAATGGAAAAACAAAGAGTGGGGTGTTTTAGTCTTTCTAATTAATCTACAGACTTGTCATTACTATCACTCGCTTTTATGATGGTGTGATGTACACGCACCGTTAAGTTGGAAGGAAAAAGTAATGGAGCTACCTCAATCAAACCTCAAGGGGGTAATGTGCCAAATTTGATACCACATAGGGGTTATCTGCCAAATGTACCACAAGGGGGTTAAGTGCTATTTACCTTTAAAAAAAGTAATGCAGGTTATGTCAGAGAGTTCAATTAATAAATAACATTTAATTATTATTGAACCAATTAATCGAATATATTCATATCCATAAATTTCTTAAAATATATATTTCATTATTATACAATATATGTATATATATATATATATATATATATATATATATATATATATATATATATATAGTATTTTTTATATTTTTTTCAATAATTTAGTTTTAGTTACTTTTCAATTATCCAATAATTATTAGATTGTTATTTTTAGTATATTTTAATTTTAAAATATCAAATATTTGATGTTGAGAGGGATAAATGTTACAAATGATACTCTAAGGGATAAGTGTTACATAAGCTATGCTTCAGGGGTGCAAAGTGTATTTAACCCTAAATTTATTAATGGGGAATTATCTAAAGTTTAGGGGCCATATCTCCCATTGCATGTTATTTGAACGAATGTGTAATTAATGAATCAACTGTATCCAAAGATGAAATTGGGGAAAAAGAAGCTGGGATTAAATCAACAGTCTGCTAATTGAGGATGATAACATTAGTAGTAAAATGACCTTTTACTACGATTTTTTTTGCTACTGTAAAAGTCATAACAGGAGGTACATTTTACTACGGAAATCTCAGAATCATAGTAGATGGTAGGATTTACCAATGTTTTGAAAACCGGACCGGACCGGCCGGTTCAACCGGTTCAACCGCGAACCGGCAGGTAGTCCGGTCAGGTTGAACTTAAATACCCGAAAAGTCATAAAACCCGGGTCAATGGTCCGAGAACCGTGGAAATCCCGGTTGAACCGAAAAAAACCGGTCTGTGCAAAAAAAAAAAAAAAAAAAAAAAAAAATTACGAATTTAGAAGAAATTGAAAACCTTTTTACCTCTCTTCGATGTTTGTATTGTTGAAGGAGCTCTCGTAGATGATTAATTAGGGTTATTAGATATCGTGGTGGGTGGAGCATTTGAGAAAGAAAGAAAGAGAAAAAAGAAAAGAAAAAAAATTGTACTGGTAGAAGAACGTGGCTGACGGCGGTAATTGATAGTGAGGTAGTAGTACTCACAAACCAATATTAGGTCTTTAGGGTATATTTTAGTAATTGGATAGAAGTGTTATTGTAATTTTTTATTTTATTTGTTATTTATTTACTTAACTTTTATTAATATATAAAACAATTATTATTTATAAAGGCATATATGGTAAATGAAATAGAATTATCAAGTCACTGTTTGAATATATGTGAAAGATAGTTAATTTTTTCTATATTTTTGCATAATAGTTATTATAAAAATTATGTATAAATAATTAAAAATAAAAAGGGTAAATTCCACTTTACCCCCTTGTACTCTGCCCAAGAACCACTTTACCCCCTCGTACTCTTAATTTCGTCGATTTACCCCCTTGTACTTGTACAATTTCCCAATACAACCCTATTCGTGAACTTTTTTCGATTTTGACTCTGACGCCATTTGGTCAACTCTGTAAATTAGAAAATTGCCACTGCCTATAACGCGTCGTTTCTCCTCCGTCAATTAAAAAACAATATCAACCCAATTTTCACCTAAACAACCCTAGATCACTTCCACAATTACAGACTATTACAAACCCGATATTAACTTTGAATTAGAAAGGAAAAGAAAAAGGAAATGGAAAACGAAAATGGAAAAACAAAGAGTGGGGTGTTTTAGTCTTTCTAATTAATCTACAGACTTGTCATTACTATCACTCGCTTTTATGATGGTGTGATGTACACGCACCGTTAAGTTGGAAGGAAAAAGTAATGGAGCTACCTCAATCAAACCTCAAGGGGGTAATGTGCCAAATTTGATACCACATAGGGGTTATCTGCCAAATGTACCACAAGGGGGTTAAGTGCTATTTACCTTTAAAAAAAGTAATGCAGGTTATGTCAGAGAGTTCAATTAATAAATAACATTTAATTATTATTGAACCAATTAATCGAATATATTCATATCCATAAATTTCTTAAAATATATATTTCATTATTATACAATATATATATATATATATATATATATATATATATATATATATATATATATATATATATATTATTCTTATTCTTATTCTTATTCTTATTCTTATTATTATTATTATTATTATTATTAACTAAATAGTAAATAGTCTATAATAATAAATATATCTAGTATTTAAATAGAAACAAATCTATATTACTTAAATAATTCATAATAATATAAAATATTATAATAATAATAATAATAATAATAATAATAGAAAAAATAAAAAATATATATAACTAGAGTTCATTATTTATTTTATAATTTTTTTTTTATTTTTCTATGAATAATTTTTAATAAAAAATAAAATGATTTTAATAAAAAAATTAAATAATAATTATAAAAAAAAAAAATAATAATTTAAGCCTGAGTTCGAGCTCGCCAAAATTGGCTCGAGCTCGAGCTCGAGCCAAAAAAAACTGGCTCGATGAGCTCGAGCTCGGGAACATGGACTCGAGCTCGAGCTCGAGCTGGCCAAAAGAGCCGAGCTCGGCTCGAGCTCGGCTCGTTCCCACCCCTAGTGACAATTAATTTTGTATAATCTTTTGTGTAAATGTTGATATTGTTATTGTAGTTTAAATATCACTTAAAAGAATTATTATAATAGTTTAATATTTTTTTTTTTGTTTTATAATTGTTACTATCATATATTTCAAATATTAGTATAGGTTAAATCCATCAATTTGGGTTAAAACATCTCAAAAATCCGACAAAGGAAATGTGAAATCAATCGCAATTAGAAAATATGAGATTATATAATTAGTAGTATCTTTAGACACGGCAAATAAGTAAATAAGTAAACTGTAAATCTCATATATATTATACTATTAAATCTCATAGTAAGTTTCAACATTAAATTATTAATTAAGATACGTCTTTATCAAAAAATATTTTTTTTTTCCCCGAATGGGAGCGTTTTCCTTCTCCACCATAGGAGGCAGTTTTTTTCTTCTTCTCTTCTCCCTTCAATTTTCTCGTCCTGTGCTATTGATTTTGTTTCCGCGGTATCTATCCTGCAGATTTGATCGTGGGTATTTGCGTTTGTCACCCAACAGCCAGTGCTATTCATTCGATCTAGGGTTGGCCTGTTTAGGGTTTGTCGGTGTTTGTTATTTTTTAGGGTTTCGGTGTTTTTTTTTTTTGCTTCACTTTTCTCTTCCTTTAGTTTCAGTTCGTTTTTTTGCCGTCGTTTTGTGCTTCCTCTTTATTTATTGTGTCTGCAGGGTCTCCTTGCTTATACTCATCTGAGTCATTTAGATCTCATCAATTATCTTCAAGGATCTATGGAAGGGCTGATCAAAGATATGACGGAGTTGGTGAATCTCAAAGGGAAAGAAACAGAGGGTGTGGATATCGGTAAAGAATGTTTTGGGACGGACGAGGAGGTTACAGCGCTAACCCTAGTCGGTAGGGTGGTCACGAACAAGGAAATATCAGGGCACACCATCAAATCGAATATCATCCGCCTTTTGAACCCGGGTAAAGGATGCACGTTCAGCTCGCTAGGAAGTAACAGATTTACGATCACGTTTCAGCACAAGGTGGACTTCCAACATGCGAAGGGAGGCAGTCCGTGGCTTATCGATCGAAATGCTATTATTTTCTCCGAGCTATTGCCATCGATGAATCCGAAAACAACGGATCTGAATGCGTTGCAGATTGTTGTCCGAATCCATAATCTTCCATATGGGCAGCGTACTGAAGCGATTGGGAGAGCCATTGGGTCGAAATTGGGGGAAGTAGTGGAAGTTCTCATTGGAAAAGGAAATCATTTTCAAGACTATGTGAGGGTTAAGTTACTACTTAATGTGAATGAAAGCATCTCACGAGGGATGTTCGTATACAGAGGGGCGGGGCTGAAACAGTGGGTCTCCTTCACATACGAGCGGTTGCCCAATTTTTGTTTTCTTTGTGGAATCATAGGCCACAATGAGAGCAGATGTGGACTCAGATATGAAGATGATTTTGTTGATCCAAATGGCAAATATGAGTACGGTAATTGGCTGCGGGCGTCGATGGGTCGAGATGAGTTCAATTCGGGACTTCCGTTGGGAGCGGTGAGCAGTCATGGTAGCTGGCCTAGAGAGTTTGATTCTGAACCAAGGAGGCGAGGGGCGGAGACGTTCAATGTTGAAGGACCAACTTATGTAAGTAGAGGATCTACGGAAGTGGGCACTGGAAAGGAGAATCAATGCCCAATCATAGAGAATCTACAACCGGTAAACAATCAGGTGACCGAACAACGGACTTTATATTCGATTCAAACAGTTAATGGACGGAAAAAAGCTACACCTGGTCGAGGAAAGAAGAACAAAGCAGACTCGTTCGATGTGCTAGATATACAAAGAGACTCAAAAAAACCGAGCTTATCCTTAAGGGATGATGACACCTGTTCAACGGCAGAGACTGCGCTGCAGTCCTGCCGACCACAATGAATTGCTTATTTTGGAATTGTCAAGGGCTTGGGGGTCCTTTGACAATTCATACCCTCGAAGAGATTCTTCGAGAACATAACCCTCAATTGGTGTTTCTGTCGGAAACGAGAGCTACACCGGGATTCATAGATAAGTTAAAACAACGGTGGAACCTTTTTGGTATTGCGGTAGATCGAGTCGGTAGTGGCAGCGGTTTGGCATTATTGTGGAGTAAAGAGGTTACGGTCGAATTGAGAAGTTACTCGCAGAATTTTATTGATGTGAATGTCGATTGTTTATTGCGGCATAAAAAATGGAGATTCACGGGTTTTTATGGGTTTCCGGAGAACCACCGGAAACGATTGTCATGGGAACTTTTGAGATCTTTAGGGGGAAAAGATACATTACCGTGGATAGTAGGAGGTGATTTTAACGAGACTCTTCATATTTCTGAGAAAAGTGGTGGTCGCGATCGTCCACCGCATTTTATGGAAGATTTTCGGGGAGCTATTGATGAGTGTGGGTTATCAGACATTGGGTGGGAAGGGAAGATCTTCACGTGGACCAATAACCGCAAGCATCCGTATACCATTCGCAGCAGGTTGGACAGGGTTTGTGTAAACGGGGAATGGGCGGTTTTATTTCCCAATGCAGTGGTCCGTCACCTTGAGCACGTCGGGTCTGATCACTCGCCGATCCTTCTAAATCCACAGGGGATGGCGAGTAGAACCGGCTGCAGAAGAAGGAGGCCTTTTCGGTACGAGGCAATGTGGGCGAGTAGGAGCGACTGCGAGGAGATTGTGCAACGTGTGTGGGACTCGACGGACAGACTGGATGATATCACGGAACTGCTGCAACGGACGACTGACTGCAGAATGGCACTGATGCAATGGAACAAGTTTGCGGTTAAGGCACCCGATAAAGAAATCAAAATTGTAAAGCAGCGAATTAATGAGCTACGAGGAATGAGACAGTCGACGGCGATCAGGGACGAGTGTAGCGAGCTCCAAGGCCATTTGGAGAAATTGATAGGTGATAAAGATATGTACTGGAGGCAACGCAGTAAAGCTCAGTGGATTAAAGATGGGGATCGAAACACTAAATTTTTCCATGCTCGAGCAACGAGCCGATTGAAGCAGAATCGAGTTGATAAGATTCGGGATAAATATGGCAATTGGCATCGATCTGAGGCGGGGATTGAGCTTGTTATACAGGAGTATTTTGACCGTATCTTCAGCTCTTCTAGACCGTCTGATCAAGACATTGATGAGATCTTAAATGACTTGGAGCCAAGAGTAGACAGCGAGGCGAACCAACGGCTTTCTGCGCCATTTACGGCGTCTGAGGCATTTTAGCTCTTTCGCAAATGTCCCCTCTTAAGTCCCCAGGTCCGGATGGCCTTCCGGTTTTCTTCTTTAACAAATACTGGAACATCATTGGTTCTAATGTCACCTCTTGCGTGCTAAATTTTTTGAATAATCAGATTCTTCCTTCTAGTCTCAATTTTACTTTTATTGTCTTGATTCCGAAAAAGCCGAATCCTGAGCGTATTACTGAATATAGGCCTATTAGTCTCTGCAATGTTATATACAAGATAGGGTCCAAAATGATAGCCAACAGAGTTAAACCGTTATTAGACTCCATTATTTCACCTACTCAATCGGCATTTGTCCCGAACCGCCTTATCACAGACAATATCTTAGATGCTTACGAAGTGAATCACTTTATCCGAACTTGTCCCAATAGATCGAATGAGCACATGGTTGTTAAGCTTGACATTAGCAAGGCTTACGATCGAGTTGAATGGATTTTTCTCCGGAAAACCCTTATCCAATTCGGTTTCTTGCCCACATTTGTTGATCGTATTATGTTGTGTATATCTACTGTCTCATATGCTTTTTTATTTAATGGTGCAAAATTGGCTCTGTCTCCCCGTCGCGGGGATTAAGACAGGGTGATCCACTTTCACCATATCTCTTTATCATCTGTGCCGAGGTACTTATTTATATGTTACAGAATGCAGTCGATAGGGGCGAGATGCACGGTGTCAAAGTGGCCCCTACGGCCCCAGTCATCACAAATCTATGCTTTGCAGATGATACTCTTATATTCTGCAAAGCAACGGGTGGGGATGCCGTGAGGTTGAAGATGATTTTGGAACGATACGCGGGAATTTCTGGCCTTGAGGTTAATCTGGAAAAACGACCATGATGTTCAGTCCACAGACACCAACTGAAGCTCGCAATCATATTCAACAGGTTTTGGGGTTTCGGGTGGTGGAAAGGCACAACAAATATTTAGGTATGCCCGCGTCACTCGGACGGTCTAAGAAGGAGGTGTTTGCGTATATTCGGGAACGTCTTTGGAGCCGAATAAAAGGTTGGGGGGAAAATATTTATCTCAGGCCGGGAAAGAGGTACTTATCAAGGCAGTGTTGCAGGCTATTCCATCATTTATTATGAGCTGTTTCATGCTACCTTGGGGTCTATTATCGGACTTAGAGGCGGCGATCAAAAGATTTTGGTGGGGTAACGGAGCGAGTAAGAAGATTGCTTGGATGACATGGGAAAAGATGTGTCAAAGCAAAAGGGACGGAGGTATGGGGTTCAGAGATTTAAGATGTTTTAATCTGGCAATGTTATCGAAACAACTGTGGAGAGTCCTCACAATTCCGAGCTCTCTACTGACACAAATACTTAAGGCTCGCTATTTTCCTTCTTCGGATATTTTTCGAGCCACATTGGGGACAAGGCCATCGGCTACTTGGCGAAGTCTTTTGAAAGCGCGACCGGGTTTTGAAAAAGGGTTGCGCCGCAAAATCGGTAATGGATTGGACACGTCTATTTGGGGTGATGCTTGGCTTCGAGAGGAGGGCAACTTGCGCATTATCACAAAAAGACCGGTGTCGACTGCTTTCCCGAATAGAGTGGCGGACTTGATGGATCCAATAACCAAGCAATGGAATGTTGATTTGATCAGGCAAACATTCTGGACTATTGATCATGCACGGATTTTATCTATTCCTATTGGCTGCCTTGGGGTAAGTGATCGGTGGGTTTGGAATTGCACGAATAACGGACGTTTCTCAGTTAGATCATGTTATTTTATGCTTATGAATATGGAATCTGAGACGGGCAGGAGAACTCGGGGTTGCGGAGTGGCGGGCGGAAGCAACTCATCTTACGGGTGGAAGCTTCTTTGGGAGTTCTGCATTCCGCCGAAGGTGAAGGTGTTTTGGTGGAGAGCGTGTGCTGAAATTATTCCAACGGGTGCTGCCCTTTTTAAACGAAAGATCAAGGATACGCCATCGTGCTTCCGCTGTGGAGCTGCGAGGGAGACCTTTGTGCATGCCATTCATGGGTGTGGGGACAACCGTAAGGTTTGGAGTGGTGATGCGGTCAAGCTTGGGCCAATCGACGACCTGAGTTCGACGTGGCAGTGGTTTAACCACTTACACATACTGTTAGGGCCTGACAAGATAGAATTAGCATTAATAATAACTTGGAAATTGTGGGATATCCGAAACAAGCAGCTGCATGGAGAACCGACTATCCAACTGTCGGAAGTGCTTAACTGGTGCGATAATTTTCTGGATGTATATCGACAACAATTGCAGCCTTCCCCCCCGACGGACCGTGTTGTACAAACAGATGTGTGGTGCCCTCCTCCTCTAGGAACCTACAAAATCAATTTCGACGCGGCATTTCCAGACAGTCAAGACTACTACCGAATTGCTGCTGTCGCGCGTGATCATCAAGGTGTGTGTGTCAAGTGGAGGATGAAGTGCATTCCGGGAAGACCGACTGTGGCCGATGGTGAAGCGCACGCGGCTATGATGGCAGCAGAAATGGTTTCGATGCAGGCCTGGACGTCGGTGATACTAGAGGGCGATTGCAAGGCTGTGATTAGTGCATTTTTAGAAGGTAACTTTCACACATACTCCTATGGTGCCTATTTGGAGGAGATGGTTAAGTTTTTAGCTACTGCTTCTTTCTTTAAAGTTCATTTTGTCAAGCGCTTATGTAATCGATTAGCGCATAATTTAGCTTCGTTGCATTTTTCTACCTGTATTGAAGGGGACAATTTACCTTCGACTTTAGCCAATTTGGCACATTGATTTATATATCAGTTTTTCCATCAAAAAAAAAATATTAACTAACATCCCAAAAAAAATAATCAATCTTGTAAATCACAAATAAATAGGGAACTAGTATTTCACCCGTGCGTTGCACGGATGTGAGTTTCAAATGAGAAAAATAAATTATCTCTTTATAACAATATCAATTCAAGCAAAACAAAATAGAAAGAAATAAAAAACAAAAACTTTGTCTCTTAATTTAGAGTTGTAACATATGAAATTAAGTTAAAGATTACAAATAAGAAAACATGAAACGCGCAAAAGATTAAGTGAAATCATTTAAAATATACGGTATAACTCTATTTCTTGGATTGCAATCTACTACACCATGTGAATCTTCTGCAAAATAACTAAGGTAACAACAAACACGGTAGCAAAGAAGTAACACAGTAAATATTCAAGTAACCTCTAAGTTTATCACTTTTGGCGTTCAATTAGTGATGCACATTACTCAAACAACAATAAAACTTATAAATATTGCAAAACAGAGATGATGTATACGCCACTATCAGTATTGATAACAATGATAACAGTGTGGATACCAATACCGATACCAATATTGATACCAATATTGTTACCAATAGTGGTACTAATTCGATTAGTATTGATACTCGTACTAATATTAATACTGATACCAATATTGTTAACAATAGTGATACTCATTCGATTAATACTGATACTTATACTAATACTAATACTAATAATACCAATATTAATACTAATACATTAGCTAATACTAATATTAATACTAATACTAACACTAATATTAATACTAATACTAATAGTGATACTAATACTAATATTGGTACTAATACTATTATTAATACTAATACTAATACTAATACTAATACTAATACTAATACTAATACTAATACTAATACTAATACTATACCAATACTAATACAAATACCAATACTAATACTAATACTAATACTAATACAATAACTAATACAGTAATACTAATTTTAATACTAATACAAATATTAATAGTACTACTGATACTAATAACAATAATAATTTTGATACTAGACTAATACTTATACTCATACTGATACTCATACTAATATTATATTAATATTGATACAGATATTGACACTAACACTCATACTCATAGCAATATTAATATTAATATTAATATTAATATTAATATTAATATTAATATTACTACTAATACTAATGCTAAAATTGATATTGATACTAATACTAATACCGATACTCATACTGATACTCATAGTAATACTAATACTAATATTGATATTCATACTGATACTCACACTAATACTGATACTCATACTAATATTGATACTCATACTCATACTGATACTCCCAATCATATTGATACTCATACTAATACTGATATTAATATTGATATTGATACTAATACTGATACTGATAGTGATACTAATATCTATTCTGATATTGATATTAATATTGATACTGATACTGATACTCATATTGATACTGATATTGATACAAATGTTGATACTGATACGGATACTAATACGGATACTATACGAATACTGAAACAGAAACTGATAATGATATTGATATTGATAATGATACTAATATTGATATTGATACCGATAGCGATACCGATGTCAATACCGATACTGATGCCGATACTAATGACGATACTGATACTGATATTGATAGTGGTACTGATATTTAGACTAATAGTAATATTAATATTAATACTAATACTAATACTAAAACTAATATTAACACTAATATTAATACTAATATTAATACTAATACTATTACTAATACTAATACTAATACTAATATTAATAATAATACTAGTACTAATATTAATACTATTTCTAATACTAATATGTTAATATTGTTAATGTTAATGCTAATACTAATTTTAATGTTAATGTTAATCTGGTATATGCTTATGCTGATTATAATTGTAATACTAATATTATCCAAATTCTTATTCTATTCCTAATCCTATTCATAACATTAATCATGATTATAATCATAATCATAATTCTAATCATAAACCTATTTCTAACATTAATTATAATCCTAATAATTTTACTACTAATAATACTAATGCTATGCTATTGTTAATTATAATTATAATTCTAACCATAATCATAATCCTAATGCTAATCATAATCATAATACCAATACATGTCACTAATTATAGTAGGAATCAATAATCGTAATCTTAATTATAATTCTAATGCTAATATTAATCATAATCATAATCCTAATATTAATTGTAATACTATATTAATCCAAATCCTAATCCTAGTATTAATACTAATACTAATTCAAAGAATATTAATTATAATCATAATTCTAATTCTAATTCTAATCACAATCCTAATTATGATTTTGCATCAATGTTTTTGCAATTATCTATTATTTTGTATTAATTTTTTTTATTCAATCTCGCAACTTTTATATGAAATTCCTTATGTGTGGTACCTGAAACATCAAGAAACACATATTAAATATATTAAAAATTAATATGTAATTTATTATCAAACTTACATCAAAATTATTTAAAAATAATATAAGGGTATAAGCAAGCATTAAGACGTGAAAATAATGATAATCGTTGTTCATAGGATAAATTACGAAAATCCTCATGAACTTAGACTAAATTACGGAAATCACCCCCACTTATTGAGAATTAGCAAAAATCCACACAGATGTTTGTTTATGTCTTACATGACCCCCTAATGGTGTGATGTTTTACAAAATCTTTTTTATTCCATGTAATATCCCAAAAATTGTGGATTCTACCCTTGCAGACATGACATTTCTTTTATCTTACTTTTTAAATACAAAAATTGCCCTTAGGGGAGGTAATAGTAATACTAAAAAGTTGTGAAGATGTTATTTAATAAGAATAAATAATTCGTGTAAAGTCCCCCTCAGAGGGTAATTTTTCTCATTAAAAAGTAATATAAACAAATGTCGTGTGCAGGTAGAATCTGCATTTTTCGGGGAATATTCCACGTAATAAAAAAAATTTCGTGAAAAACCGTAAGGGGGTCGATGTAAGACAAAGACAAACATTAGGGAAATTTTGGAAATTACAAATATAATATTAAATTAGTAAAAAAGATAAACATATTCTCTGGTCATGTTCATGTAAAATGTATAATATCAATACTTTTTTTTTATAAATCCAAGTTTATGAATTGAAATACAAAATTTTCGTAACAACATCAGTCATACAATTATAATAAGTGAAGATTTTAAATTAAATTTAAATAAATTTAAATTAAATTAATTACTATTAAAATTAAATTAAAAAATAAAACTATTTAGAGATTCCAATAAATTTGATATATTTATGGCATTTTACAAATAGTTTGATATAAATATATAATAAAGTAATTAAATATTTTTTTTAATTTTGGAAAATGTTGACATGTTTTTTGATGATTTATTTTCACCAATTGATTTGCCACATGTGATGAAATTGAATACATGTCAGCAATTGAAATTGACAAATGTCAATCAATTAAGTGTGAAATTGAACTTTTATATATTATGTAGATTACTGTACAAATGTTTTCTAAAATCAATCAAACTTTTTTTAAGGAACTGTTTAATAAGGACCAACCATGTTTTCTCAATATTTGTGTTTAATGTTGTACTTTTACATGGAATGTTATATAGTAATTTTGTTATGTCAAACAATATTATTGTAATTGAAGTTATTTCTAAATGAAAATCACATTAATATAATACGATTTTGTAATTCAGTAGATTTTTTTTTTTGTTTTCCTTATCCGTACGCGACCGGATATCCTAATTAGCTACTATATAATACGAACAAACGAGTAACAATTCCGACAAAACGAAAACCGATTCAATCAAAAAGCCTTAGTCATGGTGAAGAACAATCTCTCGATACTTCTTGTTAGTTTCTTTCTAGCTATTGCTCTATGCCCATGCAACAAAAACCCCGCGTTGCGCAACAAAGGAATAAGTATTGAACTTCATTTATTTCATTCTTATAATCATTAAACGATGCCTTTCCAGGAAAAAAAAAATAATATGTACGTGTAGACGAGAATTTCAAGTGGTACGTACTTAGGAAAAATTCTGAAAATTAATTTTTTTGATCTTGTTTTAGATTTAATATTGGTGTGTAGCCGATACAGGGGCGGAATACAGGGCCCTCCTATAAATTGCTACGGAATCCGCCCCCATAGGATAACCCCCCCCCCCCCCCCCCCCCCCCCCCCCAAGAATAATCCCGTTTATTTCGGCAATCTTAAAAGTTTTGCGTTGTGGATTTCAACCTTCCGTTATACAATGGGACTAGAGATCCCCAAGAACATTTGAACAACTTCTCTGCCAATGTCGACCTTTACAACCTAACAGATGCATCATATTGCAAGATCTTCCGGCCTACAATGAATGGTCGAGCACCAGGTTCAACAATAAGCCAAGGGGAACAATTGATGGTTGGGCATAGCTAGCAACCCAGTTCATTGGCCAATATTCTATAAACAAGAAATACGCTAAGACTGGAATTTACCTTTTCAAGATTGTTCAATGAGAAAACGAGGCACTCAAAGATTATATGCGACGGTTCGTTAACGAGGTGCATGAAGTAAGCCACATCAACAACGAGTTCTTGGCGGACATCTTGATGAAAAACCTGAGGCATGAATGCTTTCGAGAGTCCCTCGTAGTTCGACCCTCCTCGGTTCTCGATCGATCCATGAAGTACATTGGCATTGAGGAGACAGTAGAGATGGTTTTGGCCGCGAAGGGAAAGCACGAGGAGAAGCGCCACGAGCCGAGAGAGACAGAGACGAAATGCGCCCAATCCTCCCCTAACCTAACGTTCAAACCGCATAGCCGTCGAGAGGATAGCGGCGGCATGTGACGTCGGCACCCGAACACATGAATGGGTGCTAAGTACCAAAACTTTGGAAATATGTAAAGCTCTGATCAACAACAAGTTAGGGGCACGTCGCCCACCGCAATATTTTTCGTAT